AAGTACTGTCTGAAATATCTTAGCCCAGCACTGCCAAAACTAAGATATATTATTTCAACATTTAACCATTTTAAAATTTCTTTCTTGACAACTTCTTTCATCATAGGATTCAATCTCCTTTAAAGATCAGCTCTTGATTCATGATGATCTTCCAATAAAATTCTATGCATACAAATTAAATGACTGATTCCTTTAATATTAGCTAATGTCCATCTAAAAACTTTCTTATATCTTCTCAAAGTTTCCAACAATATTTGCTCTTGCATATCAATTAATTCTGAAGATACATACTTTAAATGTGTAGGAAGTGTTTTCATTTCTTGTTCAGGAGGTTTCTCAATAGATGAAATCTAATTATTGTTATTATCTGTAGGATCTAACAGTTCAAATTGTTCTTGAACATAATTCAAATCTTCATTAATCACTTTCATAGATTCATCTTGAATTTTATCCTCATCTTCCAAATATTCTTTTCCAAATTTCTTTTCAAATGTCTTCCTGAAATATTTATGGCTTAAATATTCATAATATCCATTCTGAAGCATTCAATCTCTTGCTCTTTTGTAGGGTATCTCATTGATTTTGCAATATTGAATGTAACATTTTGCTCACTAACTCTCATAGTTAGTTATCATTTCTGCACTATGAAAGCTCTTATGCACTATGAAAGCTCTTCCAGTGACAAGAAATGTTCTTCCTAAAATGATAGGAATTTCTTTATATTCCTCCATATATAATACAATAAAGTCCACAGGAAAGATAAATTTATCAACATTTACCAAAACATCTTCTATAACTCTTTTAGGGAAGGTAATTGAACGATCAACTAACTTAAGAGTGTTACAATTGTAGGTGAAATGCCTTCTAAAGCAAACATCTGAAAAATTGATAGACATAAGATTAATACTGACTCCTAAATTACATAAAGTTTTTCCATAAAATATTTCGCCAATAGCGCAAAGAATAGTAAAACTACCAGGATCTTTAAGTTTTTTGGGAAGTTTTTTCTGAATTATAACGCTACACTTTTCACTAAGTGCAACAGTCACATTGTCTACAAACTTTTTTTTCTTCCTTCATGAACTTCACATAACTTGGCATTTGTTCTCATACTTCAACAAATATAATGTTTATCGTTAGTTTCCTCAATATCTCCAAGAATTTTGAAAATTGGTTATCTTTGTTTTTCTGCTTCAATCTTTGATGAAATGGAGGCGGTAGTCTTTCTACAGTGGTTTTTATTGGTTTAATAGAACATTCAGACTCAAAATAAAAATCTTCACCGAATTTTTCAGTTTCCACCTCTTCTTTCTCAACTTCAACTTCCACTTCTTTTTGAACTTTAGTTTCCAATTCTTTTCCACTTCTCAGTTGAATAACCTTAATCTGCTCTTTGTTATGATCTTTAGGATTTACTTCAATATTACTAGGCAACATTCCTGAAGGATTATTGTTAAGTGCAGTAGTAATACATTCAAACTAATTTTTCACGTTTCTACTTGCAGCTCCTTGACTTTGTAATTGACTTCCCATTTGCAATGTTAATTCTTCCATTGATAATTTCTTCTCCTTACTCTGTAAATTATTATTAAAACCTGAAAGTTAAAAGGTTTATAAGTTGAATTTCCTTGATTGTTGGAGTTTCCTAATGGGTTTGCAGCATGTTTTCCCATTGCGGATTAGCAAGATTAGAGTTATTGTTACTCCAACTGAAATTTGGATGATTTTTTCAACTAAGATTATAATAATTGACATAAAGATTGTTAGAACGATTATTTATTGCATTTAAAGTTTCTTAAAAAGATTGAGATTTTATCGTTTGTCCCAATTAGTTTTCCTCAAGCACAAATAGTGTCTCAGAATAATTCATTCTATATTGATTTATCTTCTTCGATATAACAACTATTTGGGCAACCAATATAAATATTGCATCAGAATCATAAATACTAGCTACTCTTTTTGGATTTACCCTTTTAGAGGGCCATTGAAAATTATTAATAGTCATATATTCAATTAAATAATATGTTTCATCAAATAGTTTTGACATTAATGATCCACTAGCAGTAACGTCAATTATTAATCTAAGAGATCCAACTACTCCATTATAAAAATTATAAAAAGTTTGAATTATTAATAGTTTGAATTATTAATCAATCTGACAATGCATGGTGTGGACACTTCCTAAGGAGATTTTTTAATATTTCCCAAGCTTCATAAATTGATTCTCCTTCAAACTGACAAAATGATATAATATCATTTCTTAGTTTAGCCATTTTTTTCATAAATTGATTCTCCTTCAAACTAACAAAATGATATAATATCATTTCTTAGTTTAGCTGTTTTTTAAGGTGGGAAATGTTTAGATAAAAATTTTTGTGATAAGTCTCCCCAAGTTCTGATAGATCCAGGTGATGACGACATCATTCGACACTCCATCATATTTAAATGTAGCACACAATTCTAGAAAACTAGCAAGGTGTAAGCTAAAATCTTCAATTGGTGTTCCTCCAAACTGATTGATTTGTACTATTTAGATAATAGCAGGTTTAAACATCAGAGTTTATATACTCAAATGAATTTCATATACTGTAGGATTAGCATAATCTCGGAAAGGTCTCTGATGATTTTCATTTCCAGAATTACTTACGTTGCAAGCCATTCGCTAGAATTATCTCTCTTTTTGTTGTTTTCAAATTTTTCTAATTGTTCTTTCTAATTATGAATCGTAAAGTACTAAATTTTCAGATCTTAAACTACGCATAAACAAATACAATCAACAATTAAAAATAAACAAACACAATAAAATATGAAAATATTCAAATTAAACTACAAATAAATTAAACTACAAATAAACTACAAATAGTTTTTCAGTTTAAATAAAATATTCTAAATTATAAAATTATTTACCAATACTTTCTGTTACTTCTCCGATAACGGCGCCAAAAACTTGATGCGCGGATTTGTTGTGTAATGTTTTTGTAAATATTTTTCAATATTACAAAGCACATACACGACAATGCTAATAATAATATGCAATGAGCTTAATAATCATTCTCTTACAAACACTTGAACCATGATTTTCGCCATTTTTAAACAAAAAAATAGGCGTCAAGGCAAAGTTGATATGATTATTACATGAGGGATTTAGTATAGTCGTAGAAGGCAATTGGTATAGAGATCCTAACGGTGAAGTGTAGTAATCCTAATCCCTCTCTAAGTTAGTTTTTCACTTAAGCTTGCTGTGGGAGCTAGTTTAGGATACTAGTTAATAAATTGGGTGAATTGGTTAATTCAATATGAGCATTAAAAGAGGCTTGGCTTCTATTAACCCATATTAGTCTAAGTAGGTCAAGTAGAAAATTTTGATTGAATAGGATCAAACAAAGGAGTCAAGAGGGCATCTAAGCATAGCCCCGTATCTAAGGGTTTTAACCAATTTGAAGGTTGAGACAAATTTGGCATAATTGAACAGATTTAGGTTTAATTGAGTAAAATTTCAACTGGGTCCAATTTTTATAAACAATGGTCAAATGGGCTCTTTTGAATGTGGTTCACTCATGGACATCCTATGAATGCTATAAAATGCATTTGGGTTGTCCAATTTGATGACTAAGAGAATTTGGGTCAATTGAATCTTTTTAAGTTCAATCGAGTCAAGCTTGGTTTGAATGACCTAATTGACCAACTCATGGGTTTTATTGGGATATAAAGGACATTGACTAACTTATAACCCTTCTAGAGGATTTTTATGGTCTATTGGATATGCCAAATGGTGGTCATAAGCCCCATTGGGCTCATGATGTTCAAATAGGCCAAGTCCGACTTTTCTTCGTTGAAGGGCTGACGAAGCCAAATCAAATGGGTCTTAAGGGTTAAATGATGTATTAAACACTAAAAGACAACATAGAAAAGGCTCAAATTGAACCATTATAGCAAAATTTATGAAAATGATCCCATAGGTTCAAATGGATTCAAGAAAAATAAGTTATGAGACTAACATAAGAAAGCTAGGGCTAGTTGGGCTATAATTGGGTAACACCAATGGTCAATTAAGCTCAAATAGATTGTAATTACATGATTGGAAGAGATTCATCCTATCAATTTGATCAAATAAAGTCAATTTGATAAAAAGTCAAGTGTTCTATCTCATTAATTTGAAGTTTAATCTAGTCAGTTTAAAGCATTAATTACAATCAATATAATCAAGTTAGTCAACATCGCCTAAGAGATTCATGAGAATTATTTTCGTTCAAATGAACCAATTTACTTAATTGGGCTTGGTCAATGGTCAATTAAGCTCAAGTGAGCTATAATTAATTAATTGAAAAATAGATTATGGCAAATTGGCCTAAGAGGTTCACGATGAGTGCACTATTAATGATGATGGCATGAATGAAAATAATCTTGATAGTTGGCCATTGGAGAATGCACTACACATTTCACCTGACGAACTTAAGGCAACAAAGTTCTCGCTTGACTTCACCCACTTGAAACATAATTGCTACGAAGCTTCCATCCTAATTCAATTGCGAATAGCAGGGCAGGAATGGCACTTCAAATATGGAATGTGTAGACTGAGGCATGTTCATTTTTAGTCTTCCAGCATCATTGCCTTATTAGTCTATCATCTTGGGCCAAAAAGATTGAGTTATTAAAATAGGCTGACGTGCTAGAACCATGGATGACAGTTAGCTAAAAGCTATTAAGAATCAACATCAAATAAGTGTGGGATGACTCTAGAAGAGAACATGCGATTAGGTCAATGGAGTGGCAAGTAATGCCTATTTGTCATTACTTTGAATTAGTCATTGATATGGATTTCTTCGATCATTTAACGTGCGTATTCTTGCTCACGCAAAATGCAGCTGGTATAGGAGACCCTACTAACGTGTTTGTGATGACAAACAAACACAAGGTTTCCACAAAAAAACAAAGTTCATTAGCAATGGAGTAAAACGTTTTAAATCTAATTAAAATGTTTATAAAAAAATATTCTTCCCCATCATCAACAAGTAAATTAGCATAATTTAGCATGTTAAATGAATGATTATTCACCATTTTCAAAACATCCCAATCAAGCTTTATATTCCCTAAAGGACATACCATAAAATGCACCGAAGTAACAGCTGCAACAAACCGTTTCTTCAAATCACCCCGTGCTTCCTCATTTTTGCTTTCCTTCTATGACTCATGTGTTCTCCACTCTGCCATTCAACCATCAGAACTGAAAACAGTAACTGAGAACTATATGATAGTTTAGAGGAATAAAATAGACCCCCCGGCCATCACAGTGTCGAGTAATCCGACCAACATTACATTTCTTTGAAAGTGTCTTCTTGTTAAAACGGTGTATCTGATGCTTGAATGGAGTTGATTATCCTGAATTACAGAGAAATTATTCAAGTGAGATTTTTCCTCTCATAATATGCTGCAATTATTTATTCTAGCCTCACAGAACTTAAAATACCTGATATGAATGCTAAAACAGAGATTTTGTTTTGCATCATGTCTTCCAAAGGGGGGCCATGTTTTCCATAATTCTGCTTGGTCAATCAGGTCACTAAAGAAAACTTGCAAATATGCCATTAGGCCGCCATCTGCGATGCATTTGTCCAAGCCGAATTTAGCCCAATTACCTCTCTGTTGTTCTAATTAGCTATTCTCCTGTTCCCGTCATATCACAGCATCATCAATGGTGATTCAGAGAAGCACACTTAAATAACATTCTGCAGAATCTGACCATCAATGGAGCTTCTCACATTCTACAAGCAAGAGATGCTGACTGCTTATTCAACATTTCTTCCCATTCAAATAAAATAAAATAAAAAATCCTATAAAGCTTGCATCTCAATCAGATTCAGCTCCACCAACCAAATCATCAATCAATTCAATTACCCTCTTAATTTTCCTCTCTCTGCATGCTACCCCAGCTAGTGCCAACCAAGTCCCAATCTCAGGCAAGAACCCCATCTCTGCTAAACCAAACAAAGCAACTGTGGCATCTACCAGCCTTTCAACCTCACAGAGCAACAATAACAACTTATTTGAAGCCGCATAATGAGGCAGAACCCCTCTTACAAGCATCAAACCAAGCAACCCAACCGCTCTATCAACATCACCATTCCCAAGTATACAATTCATTACAATCCTATAGCTCGCAACATTTAACCTAACACCTTCACGAGGCAATCTCTCAAGCATGACCATGGCCTCTCCAACCCTCCCTCCCCTGCACAATCCTTCAATCAACACATTGTATGTAACTACATCAGCTTTGCATCCGCTATCTCTCATCTCAGTGACCAATTCAATCCCCTCATCAAATTCCCCTGCTTTACAAAGGCAGTTTATCAACGTTGTGTAGCACACAGCATCAGTCTCCTGCCCAGCACTCTGCATCTCATTAAACAACTGTTTCACCTCCTCCAGCTTCCCTTCCCTGCAAAAGCCATTCATCAGCGTGGAGTAATTGAACTTGTTTGGCTCGCACCCGTTGTTCCTCATGAAAACCAATATCGTCTTCGCCTTCTCCACACTGTCGTGCCGACAAAACCCATCGATCAACAAATTATACGTAAGTGGATCGGGCACGATGCGGCCTCTCTCGATCATTTCCTCGAACAGTTGGAAGGCATCCTTGAGACGGCCTTCAGAGCATAACGCACCGATCAGCGTTGAGTAAGTTATCAGATTGGGGGTAGAGGACTTTGACTGACGCATTTCTTCGAGTAGATGGAAGGCGGAGGCGAGGTCACTGGACCGGCAGTGTAGCTTGACGAGGATGTTAAGCGTGCAAGTATTGGGTTCGAGGTTTAACTTGGTTTTCACATCAGAGAGGAGCTTTTGCACGAGATCAATGCGGCCTGCTTCAACCAGGAGGTTGAGGCAGGTGCTGAGGGCTTTATTGGAAGGCTTCGAGCGAGTAATGGGTAGAATGAGGAGGAAGGCTTCAAGGACTTTTTCGTGGAGGAAGGAGCGGGAGAACTGGGACATGAGAGAGATAAGGAGGGATTCGTGAAAGCGGCAGGGTTCGGAGGCAGCGCGACGGAGGACGGCGTCGACGGCAGGGAAGAGGCGAGCGCGAGCGAGACGGAGGAGGAGGGCGGCGTAAGTGGAGTGGTTGTGGGAGAAGCCTGGCTGGGTAGCGATGAAGTTGAAGAGATCCAGGGATTGCTGGGGATCGGGTTTCTGGATGATGAGGCGGACAGCGTCGGCGTGTGAAATGAAGCGAGAGCGGCGGACTCCGGCGGGTGAGTCTGCAGATTTCGCCTGCGGCGGAGGAGTTCGAGGTTGGGATGTGGGCTTAAGATATTGTAGAGGGGAAATCCATGGAAAAGAAGGTGATGAAGAGGACGATGAAGATGGAGGGAAGGAGGGTTTTCGACGAAGAGACTGAGATGCCATGGCCCATGGGAGAAGGGGCGATTAGAGGTGTAAACGCATTTGGATGATCGCTCTAGCTCTAGATAGTTTAAGAAGTTTGCAAATAATGTACAAAGAGAACACATTTATTTTCCTTCTAGGATAGATAATAAAGAAGGATTTAGTAATATATTGTTTGAAAGCATAAAATTAGGAAATTTTTTGGTTTATCTAAAACTCTACAATAACATGAAGTTTTATAAAAAAGATGAAAGCATTAGTAGAATGATGAAATTTTGTACACTATCAAAACTTTTTGTGCAAAAGTAAACATTACAAATTATTATGTGATTAATCAGAAGAATTTATGATTAATTTTGAAGAAGTCTCGGTATAAATTATTTAGAGGCAATAAATATAAAATTAGATGGTTGCATGTTTTACAATGTAAATGTTATATTTTGAATAATGAAAATAAACACTTAAAAGATATTGAAAAAAATTGGATGAAGGAACTTTCTTTGGATATTTAAATTCTAATTGAGCTTTTATAGATTTTAAATTAGAGAGATGATTTTAGAAGAGGCTATATATATGATATTTTATAAGAACTTAAATTTATCTTATTTTAAATGACATGGAAGAAGAAGACATTGATTAATTAAGGATATTAGTTGGGAAGATAAGCGAGATATTTTTTTTCTAACAAATAGAAATATGCCAAGTTGAACCATATTAGTTGTAATGAATTACTTTATATTTATCTCATGAATAGAGTCTAGAAATATTGATGAAGCATTAAAAGATGAATTTAAAATATAAAAATGCAGGAAAAATTATTTTTTCTTAATTAGAATTAAGTTTGACAAGTGTTTTTTTACCATAATATTAAATTGTATCTTAGCTTAAATAGGTCATGAGAAATAAGTTATACGAGTTAAAATATTATATTAGCTACCAGGTTGGACAAGTAGCATGATGATATTTATAAATAAAATGAATGGACATTGATGAATATTTTGAACCTTTAGCAAGAGTATAGACTGTTTAATTACTCCTTAGTTATGCTTGCAATAAGAATTTTAAAGTCTTTCAGATGAAGGGCAAGAACACAGTCTTAATTGGATTTATATACTAAAATATTATTTTAGGGCATCATATGACTTAACAGTATTGATTTCCTAGATCATGTGTTTAAATTAGAAAACATATTATATTGATTAAAGCAAGCTCCTAGAGTATTGTATCATGTAATGAATAATATTTTTTTTATTTACGATCACCTAAACAATTATACCATAGATACTACCTTTTTCATTAATAACATAAAAAAATATAATAATTTTTTAAATTTATATTAATGAAATATTATATGAAAGTAATAAAAAAATATTTATGTATTCAGATTTCATTTATAATGAGTAATTAAATTTGAAGTAAACGTCATTGAAAGCTTAACTTTTATTGAAACTTCTAGTGAAATACTAAGAAAATAAAAACTTCATTTATTGAATTAAATATTATATAAATTATTTGAGAGATTTGACATAAATAAAGTCAAATTCTCATGAGCCAAATAAGAAGATTACAATAGAAGAATTATTAAAAATTGTATACAATGACTTTTATATAAGTATGATATGTTCATTCACATATCTTATTGTCAACCAGTATCTTATTATGTTTGTTGTTTTTAAATATCACTAGTTTTATAGCAAATCTCAATAATTCTAACTAAAATTAATTAAAAATGTATTTATTATTTATTTAAATCTCTTATATTAGGTTTATAATAACCCAAAAATTCATTGCAGTATGATTAAATTACTTATTCTTAGATCGATTACGCTAGATGCAAAGTTGATGACAAAAATACCTCAAGAACATGTCATTTTATAGAATCATCAATTATGTATTAGCTCAATATGGAGTGGAATGATATGTTTTTTTTTCTATTGTAGAGGTTGAGTATGATATTGTAAACAATTATGTTACATTAGTACTTTACCAAAGTATTATACATAAGTATTGTAAATTAACATTGATGTTATTAGTTTAAGTATTAATGAGATTTCATGTTTCTCTAGGAGAAGTTGAAATAATGTTTTTTCTCTCTACTTCCATTAGCATATTTTTTACTAAACTACTAATAAATGAAATATTTTCCAAACTAAGTAAGAAGTTGTAAGGTATGATAACATTTATACCCTTTACTAGAAAACTAACTAAAAAAATATGCATTTCTCTTACATTAAAATTTTCTCTATTTTGATGATGTGCACAAACAAAGAAAAGCCTTTCAAATATCTTAGGAATAATCTAAGGCATTGGAGTGAGAAAATAATTTAGCTATTACTTCAGCAGAACTCTTGCACCTAATGACCTTATAGATTATCAATTTATTATGTAATTGGTGGCTAAGATAGCATCCCCCCAATATTATTTAAGTACATTCATCTAAAATATTATAACTCTTGTGATAGTATGTATCCCTTCTTTCGTTCAACCATCCCATATGTTAATGTGTGTATACATAAGGAGATTCATATATATATATATATATAT